GAATTGCAGGTTGATATTGAGGAATATGACATCATAATTGGAGCTTTGCATGAAGCAGGATGTCATTGGTCTCTAATGGTCATCTTTCCAAAGAGACTTGAACTCATTTACCTCAACCCTATGGGTGAATGTAGAGAAATGAAAGACATATATTTGCAAAAGTGGTTGTAAGTATTACTGTTCATTTAATAAACACAGAGAAATTAAAAATAATCATAAATAAAACTATAAATAAGCACAATATTTCCATAATCAGAAATTTAAAACATTTCCTAAGAAAAAACTAAGCTACAACACAAAATTAATTAACGCTGTGTAGCATGCATTGTCAAAGCCAATGTGAAGTCATATACTGGGTATAACATCTAAATGAGTCCTTTACTTTCCTTCAATGTGTCTTACAAATATTTTCATGATTGTACCAATATACTGTAAATTCAGAAATTGTTGTGATGTTATAAGAACTCATAAGCTATTTTATCAGCATGACCATGATGATTGGTGTGCACATAGACTCCAAATAAATCACATAAATAAATGTCACATTTTGGTCCGTAATTTTTTCAATCACAATAATGAATATAACATGTATAATGAATGCATACAATAATTCCTGAATAAACTGATAATGCAGAGTTTTTTTGTTTAATTCATATTATAGGGCTATTGCATGAATATTTTTGAATATTTACCAGAGTAGAATTTTATATTGCATGAGCTTGCAATATTCATGCAATGACCCTTTTACTGTAAAGCAATGCTTCAACACATGCTTAAATGCATATTTTGTCATTGATGACATAACTAATTTGACACTATTAGCAAACTATATTTATTGCATGATAATTTGTGGTTACTTCCTGTAGCAAATATTGAATTGCTATACAATAACTATTTATATAGTGTATAGCAACAAAAATACTACAGAATATAATAAAATTTTAGTGTACAATATTGGCTGATATATTCACTGCAATATTGCCTACAAATTGTGACATCATCATAGTTAGAACTTATAGATGGTTATGTCGTTTTGTATGCTTTGTTTTACAGCATAAGTGTTATTGCACAGATATTGTACCTTGTAGAATGTCATATCGAACTCACAAGCTAGTGCAATACTTTATTCTACAATATTAGTAGAATAACCCTTTTATTGTATAGTATCACAATATTCCCCACAGAACATACCGGGGTAATCAAAATTTAGAATGCAATATTATTATCCAGTATTGGATTTGATATTGCAAGCTTGAACAATGTTACATTTTACTTGGGACAATATTTCCCAATATTCGTGCAATAACCCTATAATATAAAAATAATGCTGGAGATAAGATAACCATGGGTCCTTTATATTGAGAAATGTAAAAAAAAAATATCCTGTAAAAATTGCAAAATTGCAAACTTTTATTTTCATTTCATGTTTTATATAGACAATTTTTGAGTGACAGATACATAAAAGGAATTGGTACCTACATCAGTGAAGAATGGACCATCTCATCGAGACGACATCATAAACAGATGGACTCAAACTCTTGTGGAGTTTTTGTATTGAAGGTATAAATTAGTTTTGTCAAATTTAACATTTTTATACGCCCGTTTACGGGACGTATTATGGTATACCGTTGTACGTCCGTCTGTCCGTCCGTCCGTCGTCAACATGTCGGACATTAACTCAAAAACGCTTTAACCAATTTGCTTAAAACTTTGGTGAATTGTTTATATGTATTGACGTGAGCTCCCTTTCGTTTTTTATAAATTTTAGATTTTACGTTTCCGAGTTATGGGGTTTTATTCATTAAAAAAAGGGTGATTTTCCAGTTTTAGGACAATAACTCAAGAATGCTTTCACCAACTTGCAAGAAATTTTGGTTAATTGTTTATATCTAATGACATGAGCCCCCTTTGGATTTTTATAAATTTTAGATTTTACGTTTCCGAGTTATGGGGTTTTATTCATAAAAAAAAGGGGGGATTTTCCAGTTTTCGGACAATAACTCAAAAATGCTTTCAGCAGTTCTCATGAAACTTTGATGAATTGTTGATATCTATTGATGTAAGCTCCCTTTAGAATTTTATAAATTTTAGATTTTACATTTCCGAATTATGGGGTTTATTCATTAAAAAAGGGGGGATTTTCCAGTTTTCAGACAAAAACTCAAAAATGCTTTCAGCAATTCGTATGAAACTTTGGTGAATTTTTTATATCTATTGATGTAAGCTCCCTTTAGAATTTTATAATTTTTATTTGTTTATAGTCTGACAACAGATTTACTAAGTATTGCGCAACAGCACAGTGTATTGCACAACAGCAAGAAATCTTTAATTGAATATAAATTCAATTCATATAACCAACTTCAAGTTCTTTGACTACATTTATTCAGAAACCTATAATAGATGTATGTCAAATATTTAATTACAATCCAAATTCAGACCTGTATCAAGCTTGAATATTGTGTCCATTTTTGCCCCAACTGTTTAGGGTTAGACCTCTTCGGGCGTATCCAGCTGCGCTCAGCGAAGCAGTTTATTACCTAACCCCTTACTCGGAAAATCTTTAAATCAATAAATCTGTTAACCAGTTTGAAAGTAAATGTCAGTCAAAGACAATATGTAGGAATTTATTACCAAAGAATGGTTATATGATATGATATATTGTGGAAATATGATATGATGTATTGAAGTTTTTCGTCAAAACCTTTTTTTAGATTATTCTGCATTGTTCATGTCTGCATGTTATTGGGACGACCAGTATTCACTAATTTTGCATCTAACTATTGTCAAATCAACCTTTTGTATGAAATATGACCAACTTCCTGGGACAAACATTAGATTGACTCCAACCTTACATAGACTCTTAATCAGTGGTCAAAGTCATTAAACATTCTCGCCATTATTTTTGTATTGATAAATGTTGAAAAATGGTCATCTTATGTTATTTAAGTTGCAAAGTAGTATGAGCAGGCAAAGTTATTGTCCATTAACCATAACTCAATGAAAAAGGCAATTCTCAGTTTGCAGAGCTTATACTGAAAGGAGTAGAGAACTTCCGCTTCAACTCAACAAAGAAAAAACTACAGACTTTGCGAATAGAGATAGGCCAATACCTAGTTGAAAGCAGTGGTAAGGATCAGATAAACTAGTTTTGTCTGCAGTAGATTAATTCTTTTAACCTGCATAGCCTTGTAAGGTCAATTTCCTATTTTAGTTTATTGCTAAGTAATTCTAAACTCATTTTCAAGGGAACCTCTCTTCAAAACATAAGTTTTCGTACATCCCTTTGTATGTAACATTTACATGTATATACAGGTTTGACTGTATATGAAAATCAATATGTTTAATTCAGTTAAATCAACAAATGTAGTGAGTTTATGACTTAGATTTATCATTGTGTTTGTATTTTTTTAGATTAATGACTTGGTTTGTGTGTTCGAATTTAGTATCTGTATTATTTGTCTGTAGATAACATGCAAGAGGTGGCAATAACGCAAGAAGTAGGTCCGTCTCAACATAATGGTATTGACGATGTTGAAGATGATTACTATGAAGATGACAAGGATGATAGAAAGATGTCAGTGGAGACATGTCAGGTTCATGTATGTAGTTTTTTAAAGCAATTGCGATGACTTCATGAAACTTTTAACTGAAAATTAATTTCTTTATTTTGAAAATCTGTTGCATTAATATTTTTACGCGATTATGTCATTAGTAATGACAGTGGTTAGCGTTAGCCAGTTCCCAGGTTAATCGACAGTTAACGTGCATTTCATGAAAATATCAGAAGCCGGTCCCATCTGCAAATCTTTAATTGGTATGTATGAATGAATGATTCTTATTATAAAAAAAACTATAATTCGGTAGAACACTTGCGTCAGGAAAGTTGAAATCATCAACTCACTGAATGGTTAAATTTAAACCAATTATGATATACTTAAAATAAAATAGAAGCAATAAAGATAATGAAGCCAGGTGCATGGATTGTCATGTAAATTATTGCCCAGTAATAAACACTCTACAAGGGGATAATCTGTTATGATTTTTTCGGCAGTTATACATTTCCACGAAAAAAATATTTGCCTCCACCTTCAGCCGGGTAAACGTGTAGTCCCCCTGGGAAATGTAAAACATTGTAAAAATTACTTTCTGCTGGATAAGTCTTTTATTGATATAAAATTAAAACATCATTACTTCTCACTAGATAAGACTCCTCTCAGGTTTTAATTCTTTTACATGTGGATGAAAAATAAAAGTCACAAAAACATTAACTAGCTATAGGCAGCAATTGCTTTAATTTCAACAAATTATGTACAATTGACAATATTGCAGATTTTCCTTGTAATGAAAAAGATTGAATAACCAGCCCTTAGTACATAGTATTTAATACCATATTTGATATCAAGTGACCCAGTCAATTAGCTTTTTAAAAGATGATAAAATGACACTTTCCAGCTGATCACCTGACCTAATCCTGAGGTGAGCAACTGTCAACACTTGGTGCTGTCATCGTCTTTAATCATAAGATATAGAGTAAAACTTTCAATTGCAAAAATGATCAGCAGGTAAAGATCTACAAAAGTATTAAGTGGACTGACATCCTTCAATGCCTCTTATTGGAGTTACTGTCCCTAAAAAGGCATTTTAACATATATTTTTAGAAAATTATAAGACAAAGAAAATGCAGCTTTTTGCCACCAGGTGATCAATTTGGGCACCTAGAAGTCTCTCATATGTATTTCAAAGTATGTATTTGAAGATAATTAATATTGGATATATTGTAAGATAATTAATATTGGATATAATGTAAGATAATTAATATTGGATATATTGTAAGATAATTAATATTGGATATATTGTAAGATAATTAATATTGGATATATTGTAAGATAATTAATATTGGATATATTGTAAGATAATTAATATTGGATATATTGTAAGATAATTAATATTTGATATATTGTATGATAATTAATATTGGATATATTGTATGTTTTCAGTATCTGACCTGTAAAGAAAAACTGTATGAAATAGTTAACTGTCAAGAAAGCACTTGGTAAATTTAAACTTTTATTTAATGACTACCGCAGTACAGATATTTATATGAACCAGTCAAAAGTTTCATGATGAAAAAACCCAGAGAATTTATTACATAATTTGATTCAGTTTCAACCACAATTAACAGTATTCAAAATATAACTACTTTTTCAAGATCATTATTAATTTGGCATCTGAGAAAAATTAAATCGAATTCGCTGTTAAGTTGCCAGTGCAGTCTATTGTAGCATTCAGGTTGATTTAAGCAAATGCCTAACAAAATTCTGACTATCTTATGTGAAATTTGATATTTCTGGATCCTTACAGTAGTAGAAATGCAAAATATTCCTTGGTATCTTGTATACATGGATCGCCATTACAATGTTACCCGTCTGTAAATAAGAAATAGCTGTATTAAACTTATGATAAATATATATTGTAGAACTATTACAATACAATGCTTATGCATTATAACAAACTAAAGAACTACCGCAAAAATGTTCATTTTATAATTGTCAAGTGTTATTTTTGCATATTCAATGTGTTGATGAATCGTTTCTGATTGCGCATGTACTCAATAATTGTATTCTTAAAACTTTTACAAAAATTGTGGTTGCAAAAATTTACTGCTACCTGTTGTTGGTGGTGACACAACAAGCAAAAGAGGAATATTTTTTTTTTAATCTTGCCCTACAATGAGTTGGAAACCACAATTTTTATGTGGTATTAAATTATCATGTTTAGATTATGTTTCTCAAATAACATTAAGGTTTATTTCAAGTAACAGCTCACAATCTAGAGAAATACTGTTTTAGAAGTACATCTGATACAAGTTAGACACCAATTATGCTACTGTATCAGTCATTTGTATTAGCGGCGAGAACATGCCAAGAGCTTATTATTTTATCTATAAGAGTCCAAATTTGTCCTATGTTATAAGGTTTAACATGTTGTATTTGTATCAAGATGTGCTTCATGGAGCAGTCTAATGGGATTTACTTTAGTGAAATCTTTCAATACATGCACTATTACTTTTTTTTCAGTGACCTTGCTGACCATGTTAGACATCATGAATTTGTTGCCAATCCACTGAAAGTGCAAAACAGGGAAAGAGTGACAGTTGGATTTGGATTGAGTGTGATAAAGCATAGGGTTTGTGAAATTTTATGAAAAACTATGATATTTTTAACATAATATTTGTATATTTCCAGTGTACACTTCTGCAGAAATAAAATTAAATGGCAATATAATAATATATGAAACCATAGTAAAAAATAACCAAATAAGGCATACAAAAATGACTGCAAGAGCAGAATAACATCTCATCTACACACCCTTATATTTTCAATTTCATCAAGAGAAGTCTTCATTTTTCTCATTGACTTTCTTTTGGTAAGTATTGACTTGTGATTTATTACTCTACACATTAAATTTTGAGTATTAAATTGTATAATAATGAACTGTTCCAAGTATGCAACTCAGAACATTTGCAATTTAAACCTTTTCTTCATTTCATTTTAAACTAATAATTTAGGGTTAATTGTATGCTGTATGTATTTCTAGGCCATGGAGTATGTGCATGAAAAGTTGTCTACAGATCTATATAATACAGGACGGGATCCAAAGTAAGTTAAATGATAGAAAGAAACTTATATTCAAGATACTTTTTTTTGACTTAATATGTTGAGATTTATAATTAATTGTAGACATAGGGGAAATTCGCCTAATTGCGGACACTTTTTCAAATCCGGAAGTTTGGATACCGTCGAGGCCAATTGCGGACATACTGGTGGTTGCATTTGACAGGAGAGGATAGAGGGGTATCAAATGGACAATTTCACGCGTTTTCAGGTCTCCTCTCTAGATTGGTAGATTGCAAACTCTTAAAACCCACGGAAATGCCGAGTCGCGTAAATGCGGACAGGGGGAGTTAAAATACGGACACCTTGTCGTCAAATTGCGGACACTTATTTTTAAACAGTTCTTGCTATTCAAAACGCAGGTATTATGCATATATAACATTAACTCTCATGAATAAACCCTCAAGAATACCCTCTCAGTGCATCTTAAAGCATGTTTGAGAATGGTTTTCTCGCATGAACTGGTAATACATGTGGAAAGGTGAGTAAAATAAGATTAAAGAAGTTCATTAAATATCTTATACCACACCAATTATTAAATGATATAAGATGCAGACACTTTTTTGTACTGACAACTTCCATCGGGATATTGTCTTCCAAGATGCATGCATGCATATATACGAGATATAGTTGTGATAACTTTCAATTTCAAATCGTATGGCATTCATTATACGTAATGTGTTTTAATGTCCTAATCACTTAAAAATCCGTAGCCCTCACTTTAGAGCATAAGATGCCTTGAGGCGAGATTTTTTTCCCATCCAACACCATGAACATCTGAAAATAGTTTATGGAATGGGTAAAAACACTTAATTTTTAAGAATTGTGAAATTGAAAATGGGAAAACGCAAGGTGTGAGGGAACATGCAAATTTTGTAAATTGAAATGTTCAAAAAAAAATTAGGACTATGGAAAAATGGACACCAAAAATTTTAGGGAATTATGGAAAAGTCAGTATTATGTTTAGTTTTATATGTATTGTCTATCATCTGTTGTTTCTAATGTATTGGTCTTTTGTTGGGCAATGTATGACAAATATATGTTGATTGATTGATTGATTTTTGGTGTTTTAACGCCACTTTTAAGCAACGCTTTTGGGCTATTTCGTGCGGCCAGTTTTAGTTGGTGGAGGAAGCCGGAGTGTCCGGAGAAAACCACCGACCTTCGATAGGAAAACTGACAATCCTAGTAAATTAAGATTGGAGTCGGGTGCACCCGCACGAGCGGGGTTCGAACTCACAACCTCAGTTTTGACTGGCTAGTGATTACAGTAGTAACTACTTAGACCACTCGGCCACCGAGGCCCCTCCAAATATATGTTGAAAAACCTAGCCCGTAATTATAAATTATGTAATTCATTGACCGCTCCCTAACATGTGTAACTTCAAAGCATATTTTAGCGGCGATCGATGTCTTTCAAAATTACTGCACTTTTCTTGTATCCCTGGTGCTTTCGACTGGAGAACCGTCGTACACAAGCATCGCACAAGTTGGCAGTCCGAGGCGGGTAGGGAGCAAGAAGGTGAACTTTGGTTTATTTTTATCAATAGTACAGTTTAAGTCGACGCTAGGGGCCGTCTTGACCTTGTAGGATATGAATGATTCATTCATTGTTGAAGACCCTACATCAACTGTCAAGATGAAGAACAGGAATTAAAGCCTTGTTCATTGATAATTTTCATATTTTTTTCTATATGTATTGTGTGCGATTTTGTCCCATGTACATTTACTCCATATCCTTATATTTTCTCTTATGAATACTGACCCATGTCACTCCTCAATGAAGGGTCTTGCTGGCCTAAGTCCAATATCTCGAAAATGAAAAGTTAAAAAAAAATGAAAGGGAGCTTCCCCTAATGTTACTAAATGTTGTGCTAAAATTTCTTTTAAAATCTGTGGAGTTAATTTGAGTTATCCTACGACATAGAAAGTGTAAACGGACGGATGAATAGACGGGCAGAGTGATTACTATAATAGGGCATCCGCCAAAAGTCGACAGGACATAATAAAGACGAAGTCCTGGAGATTATCAGGTCACGCATGATGATATGCTATTCGTTGCATTTCGTCACATATATATTTTTTTCTATATAATGCCCGTTCTCTGACCAATAATGGCATGGGATTTTATCCGACTGGCGAATAGATACCAGCGTGTTCAGAACATGCATACCAAGTTCTGTGTCTAAGATGAAATGTCTAAAACACAACAGGTTAACAATAGGTGCAAAAGATGATTAATTACAATAACATTCATTCGTCCATGCAGGTAAAAAAAAAGTGAGGCATACGTCGTTCACATGAGAAAATTACCGAACCAAATATGGAAGATGCAGGTGATACAGTTTCACCCGGGGAGAAGGATGAGGACGAGGAAGAGCTTATTAAAAACTTTTTAGTTATTAAATAGTTTACATTTGAATTTGTTATATGATTACAAAGCTTTTAGTTTATGATTATTTGATAACTAAAGAAAAGAAGTTTTTGATTACCAAAGCAAATATTTAATGGTTATGTGATTATGTTGGCAAAAATTTGGTGATTATGCGATTACTGGTACCTCTCCATGAGGGGCGTCGTTTGTTTTTCGATTTGTCACAGACGGATGGACAAACAGACAGACAGACGACTGGATGCACAATGTTGTTACTGTAGGCTCACAAAAGTCTAAAGAGGTCTTTAAAACCAATGTATTGGTTACATTATTTCTATCATGTTTTAAAAAGTTTTATAAAAACATTTCTTTCAAAGGAATATTCGTGATATCAATAATTAAGTTCATCTTCCTCTTCCGCAGTAAGAATGTCCAACTCTTTACCTCCTATACTTGATTTTCTAGCAATAAACACAATGTTGCTGAATTCATTTTCCTTATCACTTTCAATAATTTCGCATAGTAGTGCCCCCCCCCCCAAATCAACACTTTATTGATATAAATGTATCGGATTGAAACTAATAATGCTAGATTATAAGAGAGTTTTGTTTATTTCCGTCATCATGGTATTGACATATGCACCACTGCACGTGTTAGTTGTTCAAAATATTTTGTGTCCGCATTTCGGCTATCATACTATTTTCGGTGGTGAAAATGCGGACACTTGCTTATTCCAATTTTGTAATCAAAATTTAGACAAATCAGTAAATATAATTGAAAGAAATGTTTCCTTGCATAAAATACGCAATGCCTATTGCTTTTCAACACATAAATTGCCATTTTTACATGAACAACTGTGTATAGAATGTGACACGCTGACTTTGGACCTTTTTCAAAATTTCCCGGTTTTCAAACTTGTTGACATAAGCTATTTATAGCATGCAATTTCAATCACATGACACAAAAGTAAATCGTAGGCAATAGACATGATAACCTTATTGCAACAAAATAGAGATTCAATCGTAAACAAAACACCTTATTTCTTATATCTATTTTATTTCAATTTTCCATAATTTTATTGAAAAGTGAGATATTCGTTTTCCGTCCGCATATCGGCGCTGTCCGCAATTAGGCGATTTTCCCCTAATTGACTTCTTGTCCGTGATGGTTCGTTTATCCTATCTGTCTTTTTTTTTTTACAATTAAATATTTTATATATTTTTTAAACAACAGCAGAAATTCATTTATGCAATAGTGTCACAGATGTAAGATATTATTTTCTGGAACAGCACTTTAAGGTTTTACAATAAGTAATTTCCAAAAACTAGCAGACAAATAAGTACAGCAAAATTCGAAATTAGTACTTTCAACAATTATTGGTTTTTGGAATTTTTTTTACAAAAATGTGAGATTAATCATTTTGATTTCAGTCATAAGTTTCATTTGAATAAAGTTTAAGATAGAAATTAAGTTCCTATTATCGAGATTGATAACCTGTCACAAAATTTGGAATAATTAAAACATTTGTTATTTTTAGCTCACCGGGACCCGAAGGGCCCCATGTGAGCTTATGCCATCACTTGGCGTCCGTCGTCTGATGTCGTTGTCGTCGTCGTCTGTTTGTCGTAAACTATTTCAAAAATCTTCTCCTTTGAAACTACTGCACCAAATACCTTCAAACTTTAACTTAATGTTCCTTAGGGTATCTGGTTTATAAATTGTATCCGAAGTTTTGATCCATCGACAAACATGGCCGCCATGGCTAAAAATAGAACATAGGGGTCAAATGCAGTTTTTGCTTATATCTCAAAAACTAAAGCTTTTAGAGCAAATCTGACATGGGGTAAAATTGTTCAATTGGTCAAAATCTATCAGCACTGAAATTTTCAGACGAATCAAACAACTCATTGTTGGGTTGCTGTCACTAAATTGGTAGTTTTGAGGAAATTTTGCAGTTTTTTGTTATTATCTTGAATATTATTATAGATAGATATAAACTGTAAACAGCAATAATGTTCAGCAAAGTAAGATTTACAAAAAAGTTTATATGACAAAAATTGTCAATTGACCCCTTAAGGAGTTATTGCCCTTTAAAGACAATTTTACACAATTTGTTCATCCAGTTTGCTAACATTTAAAAATCTTCTCCTCTGAAACTACTGGGCCAAATACCTTCAAACTTCATCTAAATGTTCCTTAGGATATCTAGTTTATAAATTGTATCCGAAGTTTTAATCCATCGACAAACATGGCCGCCATGGCTAAAAATAGAACATAGGGGTCAAATGCTATTTTTGGCTTATATCTCCAAAACTAAAGCTTCTAGAGCAAATCTGACATGATGTAAAATTGTTCAATTGGTCAAGATCTATCAGCCCTGAAATTTTCAGACAAATCGAAGAACCCATTGTTGGGTTGCTGCCACTAAATTGGTAGTTTTGAGGAAATTTTGCAGTTTTTTGTTATTATCTTGAATATTATTATAGATAGATATAAACTATAAACAGCAATAATTTTCAGCAAAGTAAGATCTACAGAAAAGTTAAATGACCAAATTTATCAATTGACCTCTTAAGGAGTTATTGCCCTTTAAAGACAATTTTACGCAATGTGTTCATCAAGTTTGCTAACATTTAAAAATCTTCTCTTCTGAAACTATTGTGCCTAATACTTCTTAACTTTGAATGAATGTTCCTTTAGGAATTAGTTTATGAATTGTATCCGAGATTTTGATCCATCAACAAACATGGCCGCCATGGCTAAAAATAGAACATAGGGGTGAAATGCAGTTTTTTGCTTATATCTCAGAAACTAAAGCATTTAGAGCATTACTGACATTGGGTAAAAATGTTCAAAAGGTCAAGATCTATCAGCCCAGAAATTTTCAGACAAACCGAACAACCCATTGTTGGGTTGCTGCCACTAAATTGGTTGTTTTAAGGAAATTTTGCAGTTTTTGGTTATTATCTTGAATATTATTGAAGATAAAGATAAACTGTAAACAGCAAAAATGTTCAGCAATATGATCTACAAAAAAGTTTAATATGACCAAAATTGTCACTTGACCCCTTAAGGAGTTATTGCCCTTTAAGGACAATTTTACACAAGTTGTTTTATGTTTTTTTAACTCAAATGAATCTAGTATAAATTTTGTATTTCATTTACTTGTACCTCAAGAAACATATACACTATGGCTAAAATGGAACATATGGGTAAAAAGCAAAAATAACAGGTGAGCGATTCAGGCTCTTGAGAGCCTCTTGTTTTAATTAACAAAATATTTACTTTTGAAATTGGCAATTACAACGAAATCATCCTGATCATGTACAATTTTTCTTCTTATGTAGACATCCATACACTAATCGAGGCACAGAGATGATATTGGGAATGAAGAATGGGCAATTAGAAAAAAGATTTAAAGTGTACAGGTAAAACATAACACAATAATCTAATTGAATTGTTTTATAATATAAAAAAGAAGATGTGGTATGATTGCCAATGAGACAATTCTCTCCACAAGAGACCAAATGACACAGAAATTAACAACTATAGGTCACCGTACAGCCTTCAACAATGAGCAAAGCCCATACCCCACAGTCAGCTATAAAAGGCCCCGAAATGATAATGTAAAACAATTTAAACGAGAAAACAAACAGCCTAGTTTATGTACAAAAAATGAACGAAAAACAAATATGTAACACATAAACAAACGACAACCACTGAATTACAGGCTCCTGACTTGGGACAGGCATACATACAGAATGTGGCGGGGTTAAACATGTTAGTGGGATCCCAACCCTCCCCTAACCAGGACAGTGGTGTAACAGTACAACATAAGAACGAACTATAAAATTCAGTTGAAAGAGGCTTAACTCATCAGATGGATAAAAATACAAATAAATCCAGTTGAATCGGGCTGTTTTGGTATTTTTTTTTGTTTTACTAATTATTAAAATTAAGATGTAAATTATTCAATAGTTCTTCCATTCGGATTTTATTACTTTTAAACAATTTTTGTGTTATCAATTCCTTCATGCTTGAATACTTTGAAAAATTATAGTTAATACAGACTTTGAAAAAAAAATCATGAGAAATTTCTTGTATTGTTTTTCAAATGGGGATATTAAAAAATGATCTTCACCATATTGTGTAAAGCTTATTATGATTGTTCACCTACCTAACATAAAGAAAAGAAAGTATTGAACTTGGTTCTCTAATTGTTACCTTGAAAAGGGAATGTTTAATCTTCAAATAAAAATTTAAAAGTAAACAATTTTACTGAAAGAAGTTTTATTTCAGATTGGGTCCCCAATATCTTCTCCACGTACTGGTCAAGGAAATGATAGTGATGATTTATATGGCCACACATAATTCACAATACGACAAGACCAATGAATTGTGCCAAGAAACTGAAACAAATTTGACAACAGAATGTAGAAAGCTGAAAAAACAGAAAATCAACTATTAATTGAACAAAGATTTTTGTTTCCTCTGCGACAAAAGTCGCAGAGTGAGACATAGGTATTACTATCCAGTGGCGGTAGCAGCGTAAACTATTTGTATAAAGCTTTATACTTCAAAAGGTAGAAGACCTGGATGCTTCATACTTTTTATGCAGATACCTTATGTTACAAAGTTTCAGTCTGTCATATGTCCTTTGTCCTTGACCTCATTTTCATGGTTCAGCGACTGCTTGAAAAAAATTATAGTTTATTTGTTATGTGAATTTCTCACTTATTATGAGTAATAGGATAACTATATTTGGTATATGGGTTCCTTGCAAAGTCTACATGTCCGTCAGATAGGGTTCACCTGACCTCAACCTCATTTCATGGATCAGTGATCAAGGTTAAAGTTATGTGATTATGTCCGTTTCTCAAATACTATAAGCAGTAGGTCAGCTATATGGGGTGTTTGGAATGATTGTAAGTGGTACATGTCAGTCAGGCAGGTTTCATCAGACCTTGACCTTATTTTCACGGTTCATTGGTCAATGTTAAATTTTTGTGTTTTGGTCTGTTTTTCTAATACTATAAGCAATAGGTCAACTATTTTTAATGTATGGAATGATTGTAAAGTGTACATGTCTGTCTGGCAGGTGTCATTTGTCCTTGGCCTAATTCTCATGGTTCATTGGTCAATGTTAAGAATTTGTGTTTTGGTCTGTTTTTCTAATACTATATTTGGTGTATGGAATGATTGTAAGGTGTACATGTCTGTCTGGCAGGTGTATTTTGTCCTTGACCTGATTTTCATGGTTCATCGGTCAATGTTAAGTTTTCATGGTTTGGTCTTTTTCTTGTATACTATAAGCAATAGTTCAACTATGTTTGGTGTATTGAATGATTTTAAAGTGTACATGTCTGTCTGGCTTGGTTTATATGACCTTGACCCCATTTTCATGGATCATTGATAATTTTAAGTTTATGTGATACTTGAAGTAAAACTTTATCTTTAGGACTATCAACATAAAACCAATGTCAGGTTGACTGGTTGGGGTATCAGGGTGACTGTATGGGATGTCAGGATGACTGTATGGGATGTCAGGATGACTGGTTGGGATATCAGGGTGACTGGTTGCGGTATCAGGGTGACTGGTTGGGATGTCAGGATGACTGGTTGGTATGTCAGAGTGACTGGTTGGGATGTCAGGGTGACTGGATGGGATGTCAAGATGACTGGTTTGTATGTCAAGATGACTGGTTGGTATGTCGGGGTGACTGGTTGGGATGTCAGAGAGACTGGTTGGTATGTCAGAGTGACTGGTTGGGATGTCAGGGTGACTGGATGGGATGTCAAGATGACTGGTTTGTATGTCAAGATGTCTGGTTGGTATGTCGGGGTGACTGGTTGGGATGTCAGGGTGACTGGTTGGGGTGTCAGGATGACTGGTTGGGATGTCAGGGTGACTAGTTGGGATGTCAGGGTGACTGGTTGGGATATTAGGGTGACTGGTTGGGGTATCAGGGTTACTGCTTGGGATGTCAAGGTGACTGGTTGGGATGTCAGGGTGACTGATTGGGATGTCAGTGTGACTGGTTGGAATGTCAGGGTGACTGGTTGGGATATGAGAGTGACTGGTTGGGGTATCATGGTTACTGGTTGGGATGTTAAGATGATTAGTTGGTATGTCAGGGTGACTGGTTGGGATGTCAGAATGACTAGTTGGGAGGTCAGGGTGGCTGGTTGGGATGTCAGGATAACTAGTTGGGATGTCAGGATGACTAGTTGGGATGTCAGGGTGACTGGTTTGGGTGTCAGGATGACTGGTTCGGATGTCAGGGTGACTGGTTGGAGTATCTGGGTGACTGGTTGGGGTGTCAGGATGACTGGTTTGGATATCAGGGTCACTTGTTGGGATGTCAGGGTGACTGGTTGGGGTATCAGGATGACTGGTTAGGGTGTCAGGGTGATAAGTTGGGATATCAGGGTGACTGGTTGGGGTATCTAGTTGACTGGTTGGGATATCAGGGTGACTGGTTGGCATATCAGGGTTACTGGTTGGGATGTCAAGATGACTGGTTGGAATGTCAAGATGACTAGTTGGTATGTGGGGGTGACTGGTTGGGATGTGAAGATGACTTGTTGGTATGTCAGGGTGACTGGTTGGGTAGTCATAATGTCAGAGTGACTGGTTGGGATGTCATAATGTCAGAGTGACTGGTTGGGATGTCAGGGTGACTAGTTGGGTTGTCCAGATGACTGGTTTTGGATATCAGGATGAAGGGTTGGGATGTCAGGGTGACTGGTTGGAGTATCAGGGTGACTGGTTGGGGTGTCAGGATGACTGGTTGGGATATCAGGGTCACTGGTTTGGATGTCTAGTTGAGATATCAGGGTGACTGGTTGGGGTATCTAGTTGACTGGTTGGGATATAAGGGTGACTGGTTTGCATATCAGGGTGACTGGTTGGTATGTCAAGATGACTAGTTGGTATGTGGAGGTGACTGGTTGGGATGTCAAGATGACTAGTTGGTATGGCAGGGTGACTGGTTGGGATGGCATAATGTCAGAGTGACTAGTTGGGGTGTCAGGGTGACTGGTTGGGATATCAGGGTGACTGGTTGGGGTATCTAGTTGACTGATTGGGATATCAGAGTGACTGGTTGGCATATTAGGGTTACTGGTTGGGATGTCAACATGACTGGTTGGTATGTCAAGATGACTAGTTGGTATGTGGGGGTGACTGGTTGGGATGTCAGGGTGACTGGTTGGGGTGTCAGGGTGACTTGTCAAGATGACTTGTCAAGATGACTGGTTGGGATGTCATAATGTCAGAGTGACTGGTTGGGATGTCAGGTTGACTGGTTTTAGATATCAGGATGACTGGTATGGGTGTCAGGGTGACTAGTTGGGATGTCAGGGTGACTGGTTGGGATATTAGGGTGACTGGTTGGGTTATCAGGGTTACTGGTTGGGTGTCAAGGTGACTGGTTGGGATGTCAGGGTGACTGATTGGGATGTCAGGGTGACTGGTTGGGATATTAGGGTGACTGGTTTGGGTATCAGGGTTACTGGTTGGGATGTTAAGATGATTGGTTGGGATGCCAGGGTGACTGGTTGGGATATTAGGGTGACTGGTTGGGGTATCAAGGTTACTGGTTGGGATGTCAAGGTGACTGGTTGGGATGTCAGGGTGACTGATTGGGATGTCAGGGTGACTGGTTGGGATGTCAGGATGACTAGTTGGGATGTCAGGGTGACTGGTTGAGGTGTCTGGATGACTGGTTTGGATGTCAGGGTGACTGGTTGGGGTATCAGGATGACTGGTTGGGATGACAGGTTGGGGTGTCAGGGTGACTGGTTGTCAATGTTTTTGGTGTCTGTGATAAACAATAACAAGGGGAATAAATGGAATTATAAGCAATTGGATGCATAATGCAACAAAAATAAAAAGAACTGTTAGACATTGAATTTAAAATATTGATAGTGTGTATCATTTATTTCTTAATGTTTAATAAAAAAATATACAGGTATAATTTTTCAATTATTTTGAAGCCGAATTAACCATATCCTCCCCAACAGCACCTACAGAAATGTCATCATACATTTTTTTGTTAATTTTTTTAACACTTGATTGATTGGATTGTAGATTAATTTCATCATCCTTTGATTATAATAAAGTTTTATATGATTGCAAAAATTTGTGTTTGTATTATGGAATATTCTGTTTCTTCCTTGGTCTTCCTTCTGTACAGACTGTAACTGATATTTGCATTGACCAAATGTTATTGACTATATAAGAAAGCTATAATGGTCTATTGCGGGAAATACTTCGTGTCCAGCTACCAATTATACGTAACTATACATGTGCCTAGCATATTACATCCTTATAATATTTACACCAAATGCCATTTGAAGTTATTCAATATTCTGCATTTGGCATGATTTACCATAAAATAAGACCGCAAGACTCTTTCTAAAAATCTACCATTTTGCATTAACCTTATCATTGTAAATTATATGCACTCAATCGAGATAATATTTTCATGGAGGTATCTAAAACATATATTGTAAAGATTTAAATAAGATTATGTGGTATAATATTGCCAATGAGACAACTTTCCTCTAGAAATCAAATGAAGTAGAAGGTTATCAACTATAGGTCATCGTACAGCCTTCACTAATGAGCAAAACCCATACCACATAGCTATTTTAAAGCTGTTTGAATGTTCTGTTTATGGATGAAATGGCTGACCTTGCAGTTTTAAACAAAATAGTTCTACATTGTATAAATTGATGACAACTACAAGGAATTAATTTCAAGGCTCTCTCAACATCTCGTTACAATAAAGTTTAGTTTTGGAACAATATGCAAGCTTCATGGGTGCTTGGTTTGGCATATATATATATACTAGGGTCTGGATTGGGGGGGGGTCCCTTCATTTCTGTATTCTTAAATTTTTTGGGCCCCATTATTCTCTATTCTTTATTTTTTATGGAATAATTTGTCTCTGTTTATATTTGTTGCCCTTTATTCTGCACTTTTTGCTCTATTTTGTAAACCCCATTACCCCCTCATATATATATGCACACAAGGACCAACCAGCAGAAAGATATGACTTACACCACCAGATAATACTTTTTCTCTGACATGGAATCATGAGCAGAAAACAATTATCAAATGAGATCTAGGACTAATATATTAACGTTAGTGTATTAGTCCCAAAAATAGAAATCAGATTTTTTTTTTTACTTGTGCAGCTCAAAAAAGGGGAATTATTACTTTTTGCATTTTTAAACAATACAATTGTCAATAAGACAACTCTCCACCAGAACCAAATGACATAGGAGTTAACAACTACAGGTAACAGTACGGCCTTCAAGAATGAGAAAAACCCATACCGCAAAGTCAGCTAAAAAGGCCCCGAAATGACACATGTAAAACAATTCAAACAATAAAACTAACGGCCTGATTTATGTACAAAACCATGAACGAAAAACAAATATGATATACAGCAACATACGACAATCATTGAATTACAGGCTCTAGACTTGGAACAGGCACATACAGAATGTGGCGGGGTTAAACCTCGGGAGGGG